TATTGTATGTACAACCGTTCGGTAAGAACCTGATAGAAATTTTAAGAATCTGCAGCTGTAATTGTTGGGGATGTACATTCATGCTTTATGATGACTTTTACATGACAGTAAAGCATAAATTGCATCTAACTAATATTTTTAATGCAATGGTTGCAGGTGGTTTTGAAACGGGTTTCTAGGCCATTTGGATCACATAATTGGAGTTTGCAGTAAAGATCTACGTCTATTAGCTTTCAGGTATAAAATGCGTAAGAAATTCTGTGAATGTTCTTCGTGTGTGGTTTAGGAAAATCCAATGCAATTTAAATTTTAAAGTAAGTCCATGAAAGTGTGAAAAAAGTGAAGTCAATTAATTGATTTTTAAGAAATTAGTGAGAAGATTCTTCAAAAAAGAAAAAAAGAAAAAAAGAAAAAAAGAAAAAGAAAAAGATAAAGAAAAAAAAAAAATCAGTTAGATGACAGTATGCCACACTAAAAAAAACCTAAAAAAAAAGGGGAAAAAAGGATGTCCTCCAGCATTCTACCTCTTCTTGAACATGTATTTCTGTATAACATATCTCAAGAGTGGTTTAGCTATAATATTGGTTACTTTTTCTTTTTAATCTTTATAATGGATATTTTTTAGTAAGTAAGTAACGTAAAGAAATGATAATAAGAATTTGATTAGATTAAAGATTTATAGGCAGTATAATTAGGTTTTCATTTATATTTTCTAGTTGTCTTTTTTTTTTGAATTATTTTGTGCTTTAAAAAATTTATATATTATAATATAAGAATTATAAACAGTTAGAGTGCTTCTTTTTAAGATCGAGATATTTTGCGATTCTTTACTTTTATTATCAATACAATATAATCCTTCTTAAAACAAAATAAAACAAAAAAATATAAAATAAAAGTTGCTTTTTGATCTTGGTTTGGATTGAAAAATACAAAAAGTAGAGGATCAATTTTTTAGCAATTGATTTTGAGTTTAGACCTTAGAAAGAGAGAACTTTTCATCAACACTTAACAGTCACAGGAGAAAAAACAATAAAGCGTCGAAGAAATACTAATTAACGATTATTCAATGTTTATGGAGCTTGGTTAATTTTCAACGTTAAATGAAAAAACCTTGATTTCCATGGGTCCCAACTCTATCCATTGCCGTGTGAATTTAAATTTCCTTTTAGGAGCATTTTAAATTTCCAAAACGGTGACCCCACATTGGAATATAGTCACACAATTATTTGT